GCCTCTCACTGTTGTGGCCTCTCCCGTTGCAGAGCACAGACTCCGGACGCGCAGGCTCAGCGGCCATGGCTCACGGGCCCAGCCGCTCCGTGGCATGTGGGATCTTCCCGGAGCGGGGCACGAACCCGTGTCCCCTGCACTGGCAGGCAGACTCTCAACCACTGCACCACCAGGGCAGCCCTATTCTCCATTTTTGACCCTTCACTTAGGTTACGTTCAGGTACTTGATATGCTGAATTTTCCTTGGTTTCCCAGCCCAGCCTCACCTGAGACATGGACTCCAGCGCCACAGCCACTAACCAACTCTGTCCCTTCATACGCTTAGCTTGCAAAACTAAGAACTTAATCTCAGAAGAACCTTAGGCGCTCCAATTCACCAGGCTAATGAGACTCTAAAATATGAAAATTAATTAATAACAATAGCAACAGAACACATTCCAGGAGATAATATATCAATAGCTGGCAAATAAATCAAACTGGACTATTACTGAAGGCCCCAAATGAGCAGGAGATAAAGGCTAAGTCAGGCTTGCTATGAAAAGGAAAGAGGAACAACTGTGAGCCAGATGGAGAGGCTTAAGGAAAAGAAATAAGGAAAGTGGTATTGCAGAAAAATGAATAAATCCATTTGTCTAGACTCTAGAATAAAAATTATACTTGTATATTCATGAGGTAGTCTGAAAAAGCAAATTAAGGCCTCACTGGATAATTACAGAAAGTTGTGGAGTAGACAGAGCACATTATTTTCATTTACAGATGAGGAAACTGTAGTATGGCAAGGTTAGTATTTGCCCAAGGTCATAAAACTACCTAGGAATAGAGCCAGTACTGAATGAAATTCATTTTCTCTTGATTCACAGTCATTCATTTACTTAGACCATGATTCTACTCAATGTTTTCCAACTTTTGTTTAATAGAATTCTTTAACCAATTTTTCACAAGTAACGCTGCCCCCATTTATTTCTTCTAGCATGTATACCTTTCACCTGAAGCACATCTCAAGACATACTTTAAATAAATTTTATTCTTTGACCAACAGCCCTGATTATTTGCATGATAGTAAGGAGGTTTCTGTGTTTACAAGCCATAGATATATGACCACATCCTTCTTCTGGTGGCTACCACAAGATTTGAGTTCCAATAATAATTTTTTTTTAATTGTCCTTGGGTTACAGATCAGAAAATTTCTAACACTGTCCAGCAAAACAAACTTTCTGCTTATTCACAGCTTGACATGATCTCCTGCAGTGCAGTCAAGGGTGTGTCTAAAAGCCTAGGGTGCCACTATGTTACTGTCCTTCCTCATTGTAGTAAATAAGAAAGGTACCTCATCTTTCACTGGAACATAAAATGGGCTTCCTGTTTTTATTTTCTTCAACAGAAACCTATCTTTCCCATATCCCCTAAACCTTCCAAAGACCCTATCTTCCCTTCCTATCATGATAATTTCCTACACTGACAAATTTTTTGCAAGAGTATAGTCAACCCATCTCCACTTCAAGCCTATCATTTTTATCTAGTACTTACCTTAGCCATCTCCTGAAATTCTCACTAAGGAACCAATGACATCTTAAACACCAGAATTGAAGGCCTATTTTTCAAGTCTTAGCATTTTGGAACGCTTGAAGATGGAGAGAGGCTGATATATAGAGTTCACCAGAATGACAGCACTAACTCAGCTCTCACTCTGTGCCAGGCACTGTACTAATTAAGCTTCCAAAAATGTTCCAATTAATTCTCACAACATCTGAGAAGTGCTTATTACCTCCATTTTCAGATATTAAAATTTAGGATCAAAATTACCCAAAACCATATAGTTAGTGAAGCCTGCACGATCCCAAAGTTTGTAATTCTGTGACATTTGAAGATTAGTTCCCAGTTCTCTTCCTAACTCTGTGGCCTTTTCTCCGTCTCCTTCACTAGTTCATCATCCTCCGCTCACCACTACCTCTCATTTCACATGCTCTCCTGGGCAATTTCCATTTCCTCCCGTGGCTTTAACTACCTTCTACACTACTGTTTCTCAATCTTTTAAGACTTTTTATAAACATAAAAATCATGTGCTCTTTTGGCAGCTTACATTTTGAAAATAGATTGTTTTTCCCAAATAGAAATTCCAGTGTTGTTCAAACTACACCTCCTGCCTTTTAAGATCTGATAACCTCTTAGGCATCACCCCATGACTGAGAATCAGCGACTGGTCTGTATGACGTCTCTCAAATCAGTCTTCCCTCTCCTGACCATCCCCACTCTCTCCCAGACATCTCTCCTGAATTACAAATATTACCCGGTGCCTAATAAAAATAGATCCATTATCATCTCCCCAAACTAAGATCATCCACAGCAAAACTCATTTCCCTTAGCAAACCTGAACCACCTCTTTGTGTTCTCCATTTTGGCTAAAGGTATTACAATCTACCCTTTTCTGTGCTTTTAAGGTAACTATTTGTGAAACGGCAACACTGGCACTAACCTCCCTTAGCTACTAAGTTAAAAATCAACCATCAAACAACGAGACATTATCAGTGTCCAGGAGGTAAGGAATGTAAAGCATAGTACAAGATTCAACGCTTTTACTCCTTACGAAGTTTACAAGAAAAAAACACACCAAAATCCATTTTTTGTGTGTGAAGCGTTTCCCACTTACCAAACAAAATTAATTTACTTTCCAAAACATTTAAATGTAATCCTTACTACAAATCCCATTTTAGAGATGAAAAAACCTGAGATTCAAAGAGATTAGGTAATTTAACCCATGTTTTACAAGCTGGTCGGTGCAAGGTCCAGACCCTAAACTCTAGACTTGAGATTTCAAATTCCCTTTCCTGTTTATTATTGAAATAAACTTCTACACAATAAAACGAAATCTCGAGTGTGCACAACAGAGGTCAGCGGAGCACCGCACGCAAGTACCAGAAAGCACAAGGCATCCTGGACGCGCTCTAGGCCGGGGGCCTCCTTGTCCAACCCTCGCTCCGACGCCCCCCGGCCACTCTCTCCCCGCCAAGACCCTCTGCGGTCTGCCTCCAGCCAGCCCGGTGACCGCGGGAAAACGGCGCTCTGAGACTCGGGGCGCTCTGGGTAGAGGCTGCCGCCGCCGCCAACCACCCCACCCCAATCTGCGTCCGGGCTCCGCCGTAGCCGCCGCGCCTCCAGCCTACGGGACAGCCGACCCGGAGGGAGCAAGCGTACCTGGTACAGGAACCGGCTGGAGGGCAGGCGGTCCCGGCGACCTTAGAAGGTTGGAATGACCTCGGAGGCGAGTTGGTCTGGCTGGCGGCGCTAATTGCATTCACTCCCTTTGGCCACCTCGGAGCCACAATGACTCTTCAAGCCAGTACAGGGTACAGCACACCAGCAGCGAGAACCCGAGGCGGATCTGAGGGCGAGAATGCGTCGCAGTGGGTAAGGCGCAGGGGCGGAGACGCGGCCCGTGGGGGCGGGGCGCAGGCGCGAGGAGGCGGGGTGTGAGGGGCCGGATGCGCAGCGCGAGGAGGCGGGCACCAAGGGGCTGGGCGCGCGACGCGAGCACGTGGGGAAGAGCGCGAGGCGGGGCGCGCGGCGTGAGACGGGGCGGGGCGCGCGTATCGGCGCCGCGGCTGCGTGACGCGTTTTCAAATCTTCAACCGCCGCAGCCCACTCGTTTGTGTTTTGCCACTTCCTCCTCCGCGCCCTGCGGCCGCATTCCGCCCCCCGGAAACCCGGCGGGCAGACGCTGCATCTCTACTGCGTGGGTGTGGTGGCCCGCGGAAGCGGAGAGGCTACCGGCCGGTCAACGGGCCTTGAGGAGCCGTGTTTCCGCGGACGCCCGGCGCGACACCCTCTCCGGAGCCAGCATGTAGGTGCCGGGCGGCTGCCATGAACTCCAGAGCCATGAGGATCCACAGCAGAGGACATTTCCAGGGTACGAAGCCCCTCCTTCGGCTGCAGTCCCTTTAATCCTTTCCTTCCCTCATGGTTCCATAATTGATTCTTCAGAATTCTCGCGCTGGGTCTCTGCTTTTCTGTTCTGACACGTGCATCCTGCTCTGGCCTGAAGGAAAGCTTGCTTCAGGGTTTTGCCTCAGGAAGGGAACGGATCCCGGCCTGGCCCCTGGCGCTCTCCACGCTCCAGCGTCGGCCGCAAATTCCCCGTAGCGCCGTCGGTTATAAAACTAGAAGACAATGCTGGACCCGGGAACCCGCCGGGGCTCCCACAGATGCTGCGACCCTTTGAGGCTGCCGCTTGAGCCTCGATTTAAATGCAGATGTGCTCAGGGCTTTTCGCTTCCTGATTAAACTGGGTGATTATGGGTGGATTTTTGGTCTTACTCGTGAAGTTGAGGGAAAGTGTATTTCAAACACACTGTTGGTGTTTTCAACATTACAGACAGAAACAAGAACTTTCATTTTCAATCACTTCTATTTGGTAAAGCATTCCAGCCTGTAAGTTTTTCTTTTTAACATGTATAGTGTGTGTGGGTATATATTGATATGTATAGTGTGTATATGTGGTCTCCTACTTATGAACAGATTGAGTTCTTAAAGTTAATATTTAAGCAGCTGTTTGGATCTGATATGTTTTCAAAGGAAAGAATGAAATGAATGGTGATTTGGTTCTTCAATTGGACCGTTGAGTTCTTAATATACACACTAACTCTATGTGAAACTCAACCTTGAGCAGTCAGGAACCTTTGAGGTCTAGGTCATTCTGAGTAACAGGTTTCTTGCATTATTAAATGTTCAACATTTTAAGTACCAGTTGTGAGTGTTCAACAGAATGGCAGACGCTCCATGAGTATTTGTTGAGTAAATACTTCATGCAGTTTACATACTAGGAAAACTCTTTCAAATTGGTTTTACATAGTTCACTGCCTTAATGCATAAAACACGAATAAACACATGAATATTTCCTGCAGAGTCAACTGTTGACTGTGAACAACAGTCGTTTTGCCACATATAGTATCTGTTAAAATAGAGTATTTTGCCTTTATCCTAAGTGATACCACAAAAATTATATTAAAATGTTAATGACTACTAAATTAGTAGGATTATAAAGATTTTTCTGTGATATTATATAAACAAATATTTTTAAAACAGTAGAAATTTTCTGTCTGCGTAAAACATGATCTAATTCTAAATTTTTTAAACAATAGGTGGAATCCAAGTCAAAAATGAAAAAAACCGACCGTCTTTGAAATCTCTGAAAACTGATAACAAACCAGAAAAATCCAAATATGAGCCACTCTGGGGTAAAGTATTTTACATTGACTTACCTTCTGTCACCATATCTGAAAAACTGCAAAAGGACATTAAGGATCTGGGAGGGGTAAGTCAAAACCATACACTAACAAACAGGGAAAACTTTCTAATTTGTAATCATTTAACATTTTCCTTTTGGAAAAAAACTTTTATAAGCACCAAGCTTAAAATTTTTAACAGCTGTTTATCGTTAATGAGCAGTCATTTGTTTTAACCTTTTGTAGGCTGACAGAACTTTCAGGTTTCTGTGATTATTAGTCTGGTGTGAAGTTCACAAGTGTGAGAAATGAGACTCCCTTGTTCTGAAGGAACTGCTGATTGCCTTCTCATGGTAATGTTGGGATGTTCTCCAGGTGGCAGAAACTCCTTAATAATGATTATTGGGAAGCTACATGAAAGTAAGATGTTATTTACAGAACAAGGAAAACCTGTTCAAACCACAAAGAGTTAAAATTTCTCTTGACTGATACAGTCTCAACAGAATGAATGTCATTAAGGGAACGATTTTGGATTATAAATATGGAAAACGTGCTTCTTTCCTACCTTATACATTGAGTAAATGATTAGGAAATTAGAAAATTTGGGTAAAATTCTAAGATTTTCTTAGGATTAAGGGTAATACTCGGTAAATTTTAGCAAGGTTAAGATTTTATTCATTTATTTCCTGATTATTCCTGTTTCAAAGATTTCTGCTGCACTTTGTCATGGTTAACATTTTTTGAATAATATGAACAAATCCTGCCATTACTAGAATAGAAATTTGCAGAACATGTAACAAGTTTTTTGGAATCATTTTTTGATATGATATTTTACTTAACTGTCTTTGAAAAGCTATTCTACTTTTTTGCTATTCATTTTCTTAAAATAAAGCATTGTCACACATTAGTCATAGTAGTAGCATATACCATAATGACCATATGACTGCATTACTAAAGTTCATGTTTTATAACCTGCCATCAGTGAGTAAAGATCCCTTATTTTAAAAATTAAGTACTTAAGTGTCCAGAGAAGTAAGTGACTGACCCAGGGTAGAATCAGCCTAATACCTGGACTCATGCTACTGCACCATTCTGTTCCTCTAGCAATCAGTGGCTACAAAGTAGCTATCTGATACGGTTTGAGAGCTTTCTTAAATATGATGGAAAAACATTAACCCTTCTAATCTAAATCAGTAATTTTAGATTTGTGTTTTTAACAGTGGAACCCTTCAAACAAAATCATGTTCAGAAGTCCAGTGTGTAATGCCAATGAAAAGGGAATTGTTGTAGCTGAAACAGCAGTATAGAAGCTAGTGCAGGGACTGCCTGCCCTACCCCCTTTTTCTCTCTCCTCTCATCCCCATAGCAGTTCCTGAGGCACTTGCAAGAAACAAATTTTGAATTCACTTATGTGTTAGATAATAGCTGAGAGAGAGCTGAAAGTTGGTTTTATACACTTCAAATTTTTATCCTAAAATGGTTTGAAGTAGGTCAATGAAATGAGGAGCATATTAATGTCATAAGTTTCCAAATTTTTCCCCAAAGCTGTGGATTTTCAACTGAATTTGATTTATTGACTTTATTCTTTTAATTTCTCCTAAGATTTTTTTTTAATCAAATTCTGATCTCCCCCCACACTATCTTTCCAATAATTCATGATGTCATGATTTCTGTCTCTAGCACAGTACTATTTCTATCACTGAAAAAGATTGTTACGAAGATCTCGTATGGGAGCTATAAAGGAACTTTGATTTCTATACACTAATTTAAGTTTTAATATTAAACTTTAAGAAACATGTAGTTAAATATTGATAGATCTTCCTCAAAAGGACTGTGCTTATTACTTAATTTTTAGGATTACTTAGATCCTTTAACCATTTGTAATTTATTTTGTCTCAGGTTATTAACAGTGTCCTCTTTTTTTGAACTGTCCATTTTATGCATTTGTTTTCTCTAGTTTGAATGAAAACATCTAAAAACACCTTTTATTTGGAGAGTACACTTCTGAAGATTCAACCACTGAGAGCACATCAGTGAAGTGCTGACATAATGGGGGAATATCTTTAATAGTGGCAAGAAAGGTTGCTGTTGTAAAACCAACCATGCTTAAGCCCATATCTAAACAGTTTGGGCTAAAATAAGACAGCTGGAGAAGAAAAGAGATGTTGGGTCAGATACCTTGGCATAGTTCTGTCCTCATGAACTTGAGGACAGAATTACTTGTTTTGGATGTTCAGTGTAACCTTGAGTCATCAGAAAATAAATTTTGAGTTTACTCTTTTAAAGACCTAGATTCCACAGTAGCTAATAAAGGCCATGATAAAACTAACTCAACAGTACAGGACACAGTATTAAGTATTTTGGTAGATTCAAAAATGAATCTGATGTCCATCCCACCCTCAATTTCTAATCTAAGCAGAGATGGCATTGGTACAATTAATTGTAATATAGAATGTTATAAGAGGGAAAGATTACTTCCAGCTAAGGAATCTTGGAGGCCATTGTACAGACACAAGTTGAACTCAGCTTTGAAGAATGGTTATGATTTGGGCATATGGAAATTCATTCAGAAATTATTCCACCAGTGTCTCCCATATGCTAGCACTATTTTAGATGCCGGGGAATGCAAAAATAAGATGTAGTCTAATCCTCTAGGAATTCTCAGTCTATGGGAACATCAGACACCTAAATCGATAAATTACGGTATAGCATTATCAGTGCTTTAACAGAAGTTAAGTAGAAATTGCCGTTAGAATACAGAAATGGAAATATTAACTCTGCCTTTTGGATTTATAGCAGGAATAAAATTTGAGCTGAGTCTTGAAAGCCTAGTAGGAATATACCAGGTAAAATGAACAAACTAAATAGAGGAAAGAACATATTTAAAATATAGGTCTGTGTGGTTTGTTTGAGCAACTGCTAATATTAAGAGTATGACTTGAGCTTGGGATTTAGATGGGGGATATGGCAAGAAACAGTGTTACATTGGGACCAGATTGTAAGATATTTTTCATTATTAAAGACTTATAA